GAGGACCGCGAGGCGCTGGGCCGCCACAGCTGGGCTGTCCTGCACACCCTGGCCGCCTACTACCCCGACCTGCCCACGCCCGAGCAGCAGCGGGACATGGCCCAGTTCATACATTTATTTTCCAAGTTTTACCCGTGCGAGGAGTGCGCGGAAGACCTCAGGAAGCGGTAAGGGCACCCCGGGGTCCCCAGGACTACGGCAGCGTGGGGACGCCCCTGCCCCGCCCCGTCACCTCCGCTCCCTTCAGACTCCAGCGGCCCGGGTGCTGCCCCGCGCCCCAGGGCGGCGCCCCGGCTCCCTGGCTTAGCGGGCACCAGGGGGCCCTGGGGCCGGACACAGTGCCCACTGCCTGGGCCTCGGAAGCAGCCCTGGGGGCGCCCGGCCGCCCCGACCGGACGCCGGCCTTGCTCCCTAGCCGCGCTGGAGAGGCCACCGCCCTGGGCGCCTGGACGGTAGCGCCCACGCTCCGCCGCTGCAGGGCTCCGGGCGCGGAACCGGGCCAGCTTCCTCTGCCCTTTGAGCCCGCCCCGCCCCTTTGCTCCTGCCTGCCCGTTAGGCGGCTGTAAAGTCGCCTGGCAGGTGCCTTCGCGGTGCCCTGGGCTACTGGCACGAGCTCCGGGTCGGGCTTTGCGTGCAGCTGGGCCTGTGCCTGCTGTCAGCCCTCCGGAAACGTCGGCCGCGCCCCAGCTCCGTGTGCTCCCCGCAGGATACACAGGAACCAGCCGGACACGCGCACGCGCGCGGGCCTCGCCCAGTGGCTCTGCCGCCTGCACAACGAGGTGAACCGCAAGCTGGGCAAGCCGGCCTTCGACTGCGCGCGGGTGGACGAGCGCTGGCGGGACGGCTGGGAGGACGGCTCCTGCGGCTAGGCGGGGCGGCCTGGGGGGCGGGCGCTCATTAAAGTGCAGAGCCAGCCCGGCGTCTCGTTGGGGGCCCTTCTCAGCCCTGGACACTGGGGGCGCCCAGTGGTCTCCCGAAGGAGGCCGCAGTCGCCCCCCGGCACCCCCCTCCCCAGCTGGCAGGTCCTGGGTCCAGCTGGCCCCTGTCCTGCCCCTCCAGCCTGGCCATTGCCTCCCGGGCTTCGGGCAGCAGCGGTGGGCAGCCCCGGGGGAGGCTGCACTGGGGTGTGACCCGGGACTGGCCCTGGCTGGCCGACTTCCTCCTGGGGAGACCTGGCAGGGCTTCCTCTGAGGGCGCCAGACTTGAGGGACTCTTCGTGGGACCAGCTTCTTCGGAGCCTCAGACCAGATTAAATGCTGGACAAGCACTGAGGGCCGGCTCGTGTGTGTGGTTTTTTCCAAAAGATGTATTTATGTATGCAGGCAGGGGTCAGAGGCGTGGGGCGAGCATCCTCCAGGGGCAGGTGGGGAGCAGAGCGGGCGGAGCCACCATAACTGCTGCTGAGGGGCCACTGGGAGCCAGGAGGGGTCACTCCCTGCCCGGGGATGGCCTCGTGCTGCAGTGGCTGAGGCCAGCCTATAGCGCTGCAGTTCAGCCCTTGGGCACCAGGGAGACCCCGCTCCAGTGTTTTGGGCTGGCTCTGGGAGCGGCCACATCCCCACCCCGCTCCCCCCCACCCCCTGCCTCTGGACCGACAGCCCAAGGCTGGGTGGCGGGATGCCCCAGCTTCGCGCCCTGGTGCGGAGCAGAGGAGGTGGGCGCTGCCCCTTGAAGTGTCCAACGGCTGCAGGCCCCAATGGGCAGGCACCAAGGTGGCAGCAGGGTCAGCTGCAGGCGGGGGTGGGGGTGGCGGGAGAGGCAGAGCAAAGCTGCTGGCCCCCCACACAGCTGGTGGGGAGCAGGCACCGTCAGGGAGGAGAGGACAGGTTGGCGTGACCCACACCCTGGCAGCAGTCTGTGCCCAGCCCAGGGCACCTCTCCACACCAGGTGTGTCCATCTCCCTGGCAAGGGACCCACCTTGCCACAGCCGTGACACCTGCTGGACAGTCAGCCCACCCGGCCAGGGGACAGCCGGCACCCACCCCCGCCCCGTGAGCTGTGCCCTGTGATGCCGAGGTCACTCAGTGTGGGAGCTGTGATTCCCCTCTACCTCACTTCCCCAACCCCGGCTTCCCCCCAAAACACCTGAAGTGCAGCGGCGTCCAGGGCCTCCAGGTTTGGAGCAGAGGGACACCAGGGGTTCTGTCTTCAGCTGTTGACACAAGCCAGAGGGAGCGGCTGGAGGTGCCCCCAGGCCCCCTAAGGTGTGAAGGTCACAGGTCAGAGAGGGAGGTCCCCCAGGAGGGTGGGAGCAGCCAGCTGGGCAGGTCAGTGCAGGGCTGAGCAGAGGAAGGCCGTGGAAGGGACAGGACCGGAGGCGGCTCTCAGGCAGCGGTGGGGGACCGCATCCAGCCGCACTGCCCTGTCCATGGTGGCCAGCAGGCTGAGGGAGGAGTCTCGGGCCAGCACTGGCGTTGGGGACAGGCCAGTGCCACTGTGCAGCAGGCCAGGGGCGGCAGTGGCCGGCAGAGGCCTGACTGAATCCCTGGGCCTCACGGAGTCTGTGGTCACAAGTGGCCGGGCTTTGCACAGCTCCAGTGGGGCAGCAACAGTCCCTCCCTCCAGGGGTCGCTGTGGAGCGCAGCGCACGTGCTGAAATCGGGTGTCACCGCCCCTGTTGCTGCGCCCTGTCAGGACCCAGCAGGCCCCAGACTGCCCACTCTGGTGCTTCACCCCACGCCTCTGTCCCCAGAACAGCCCCGGAGACCCTGGGGCCGCACCTCGGACAGACACAGCACCCCCTCTCCAACTGGCTGTGGGCTCGCCGGTGACCCGACCTGTCGTGGGGGGGGCGCGGGGGGCAGGGATCCGTCCAGTCTTCCACACACCCCGCCCCACCAGGCTGAGCCCTCTGGAGAAATTAGGGTGCAGTGGGGAGTGCAGCGAGGGTCCCGTACGTAACCCGTCTCCGGACAGGGAGTCAGGCTTGCCCTCCTGGAGGGGTCCCTGCGTCTCGGCTACCCACTGCGCTTCGGGCAGGGGCCCTGCTCGGAGACGGGTCCGGTCCGGCTGTCCGCCGCGCGGCTACAGCAAGAGCTGAGCCGCTGCCCGCCCGCCCTGCCAGCCGACTGGCGACCGCCCAAGCGCGGGGAGGGGG